CTCCCTCTCTTTCTCCCTCCCTCCCTCCCTCCCTCCCTCTTTTCTTCCCTCCTTCCCTCCCTCCCTCTTTCCCCTCTTTCCTCCCTCCCTCCCTCTTCCCCTCACTTCTCACCCTAACGAGAGGGCTCCGTACTCGCCCCGTCGGCTCCTTGATCCCACTAGCGCCCTGGATTCCCTCATCCTTCAGTGTTTTAGAATTCGCGTGACCGATGCGAGCTAACGACTTTGCTTTTGCTTCCCCCCCAGGCCACGCGCCCTCCCCTTTTGTACCGAAATAAATTTTACGTCAGAAGGGCTTTTCGTCGAGACTTTTCCGCCCCACTACTCAATTTTGAAGCTTGCTGACTCCCATCACACTCCTTGTCACACGTTGGACTCCCAAGGTTCAGTTCTTTTCGCCTCGGGCCTCAGGTGCCCTCCCAGAACGCTCACATACATGCCGCCACGCCCTATGACCCCTGATTTCCACATACCCGAGCCTACTGCTGCCGTTCGCGCACTGCCTATCGCCACTTTGCTGCCCTCTCAGCCCTGCCTTGCCCCTGAGCTGTTGCCGCGGCTTTCCAACGCCTAACTCAGCACTCGCCTGGCGCGAGTGGTGCTAAACGAGGGGGGGAGGTACCTTGACTATGGCTGATGGGTGGAAAACTGGGCGAAACCAATCAATTACCCCGTGCCTTGCATCTAAATGCCATAAAAAGTACATTAAAAAAAGAGGAGAACGTGATTTCGATGCCGGAATCTACCAAAGCGTAATGTTTTAGTCGTTGGAGAAGAAATTTAGAGAGAAGCTCCCGGCATTGTAAAACCTGATGAGAGCCCGCTCTGACCACCCTCCACTTCTCGCGCTTCTAATGCATTCAAAAACTGTTTCTATGGTCTCCACCTTGTGAGCACAGAATTTTAGGTAGCGGCAGAGTGTTGACGGCTTGAGGTTTTCCAATAGGGCAGAGGGCTCGAGGTCAGCATGGTGAGTCGGCTGGGGTGCCTTGAAGATATGCGAAGGGAACGTGCGAGGCGGTTCCACCTACAATTTTGGGTTTCAGTGCCGCTTTAGCCACTCATAATATTATGAAAGCTGAATTCGTCATTATTTGTATTGGTTGCGGCGTGGTCGGACGTTAGCCTGGAAAAATTGGAAGAAGGCTTCCACAGATAATTGACGACTAGGGGGGAGCCTCACGCTTGAATGGTTTTGACACCAGGACATCGCAAATCGCGCGTGAAACCCCTCAAGTCTTTCATAACATCTGGCATCCTTTTTAGGATTTTGAGGCCTGCCCTCCATTTCACGGACCCCTTTCCCACCCGTCCCTCCTTCCCTCCCTCACTCCCTCCCTTTCCCCTCTCTCTTCTCTCCCACCCTTCCACGTATATGTTTCCCGTTGTGCAGGCAACAAAAAAAGACACGGTCCTTGATCTGAACAAATACTTGGACAAAGCAGTTTGTGTGCGGTTCCAGGGCGGGCGGGAAGGTACGTGAGGGTTTGCCGAGGGAGGTCTGGCAGAGCGATGGGAGCGCTCCGTGCTGAGAAAGCAAGAGAGGCGTGCATAGTAGGAGGTCTTGGATGTGCGCCCATTGACACACGATTCTCCACGTCCTCCTCCCTAGTGACGGGGATTCTGAGGGGGTTCGATCAGCTCATCAATCTGGTACTGGACGAGAGCAAGGAGACTCTCCGAGGTGCGTTCCCCCGGTGGCTGGCACATGACCTTTTCACTTCCCTTTCTTTCTGTGGATTCCCTCCTCCTTCTTTCTATTCTGTCGTATCTACGTCTCGTCCGTCGCCCCTGTGTCTCCTTCGCTCCTTCCTTTCTCCTCTCCCATCCCTCCCCGCATTCCCTCCCCATGCGCGCGTCATCGACCCCACCCTTCCCCCTTTATTCCCTGTTTTTTTTTTCCCTCTTCCCCTCCTCCGCTTTTCCTCACTTCATCGCCCCTTTAGACCCCCTGGATCCGTACCGTCTCACAGACGAGACCAGGGAGCTCGGATTGGTCATCTGTCGCGGCACGCAGGTATCCTTGATCAGTCCTGTGGAAGGGACGGAAGAGATAGCAAACCCTTTTATCCAAGCGGAGGACGAGGCATGAAAATGGGAGGTGGTGGCAGCCAGGGACCAGGAGATTGAGGAAGTGAGAATGCTCATTGTAAATGCCTCGTTCGGAAAAAAGAACACAGCAATCGAGTGATAGACGCGGCTTTTTCATATTTTCACATTCTTGATCGTCCCCATTTCTTTGATGGCGTCCTCGTTTCCTTCATCCTCCGGCCTTCTCACCCTTATCCCCGGTGTCTTTCCCTTCCGGCAGCGGCTATCACGCCAGGATTCCGCTACTTTTGACCCCTCTGCAGCAGTTTTACTTCCATGCATAGTAGTAAAGCATGTGTTTTACGAAATTAAATCGTATTTTCCTCCGCAATACTCGACGCACATTTCTGGTGGGCCCATTTGTTCCACACGAGCAAGTCATCCGGGTCGTTCGAGATACGGGGCCAAAACCTTTCATATCGTGGAAGACCATGTTACACCATCATTTTGTGGAGAAACTATGTCGACCTGTGACACCCCCTTGCCCCCATCGATCCTTTTTCGATGTGTTAATCTTGGTCAGGAGTGTACGTGGGTGGTACACCTTCATCCCCTGCCCCCCCTGGCATAATACATGCCACGTTTTTTGACGCATTTTTTCTCATGAAATTATTTCACGTAAGTCAAAGGGTCCATGACAAGAATTACGACAAGTCAAACCCTACCAGAAATGCATACAGCGTCCTTCCTGCGTGCTGTTTGTCGGAATTATTTTGTTTTTCCTTCCTTGAATCTAGCCTCGCCGTCGCATTCGCTGGGCCTTCCCTTTCGCCAAGTCCTGTTATTCCTCAGGCCAATACCACCTGAAGAACACGAACGAAACCATGACAACGAATGGTGCCTGCTGCCCAGTCTCCCCTTGCACTCGTGGAAATCCTCTCTGTGTGTTTCCGTCGGTGTTTGCTCGAAGGAGTGTAGTGCTTTTGGTGCTGAGTTGCGTGTTCGTCTCGCGACCTGCTTTTTTCGTTCTGGAAGGCGAGGAAGGCAGTTAATACACCAGTCAGTGGAGTCGTTTGTCCCTCGTCACACCACAGGCGCCGTTTGCGGTCTGTCATTACCGCTTCCTAGGTTGATCGACTCCTTCTGCATCGTGGCATCATGCGTCTTGGTAAGTGCTTTGATTGCGTCCGTACGTCACCTCTCATCACAGCATCTCCGCCTGCTTTTGCCGGTTCTCGCCTCATCCCAGCCCCCCAGCCCACTCTTCCTCCACAAACATCGATTTCTTCCCCTTCCTTCTCAACCCCACAGCGTCCTCTTTCCTACCAGTGATCCTCGCCGCCTTCACGCCTGTGAGCATTCTGGGGAAGGCCCTGTTCCTAGAAGAGTTCCAAGGGACAGACAACCCCCTGTCTCAATGGCACCTTTCCAAGAAAGAGAAGTACGTGTCACGTTTTGTTTGAGGGGAAATAACGCTGGGGCTGAGGTCTCAACGGAAGCGGTGTCATGCAGAATGTAGACGCTCAGACTTGAATGAGGTGCAGCGATTGACGCATTTCCATATTTACCTCCCCACTTTCCGA